ATATATATATATATATATATATATATATATATATATTTTGAAATTTCAATACATTTAATTTAATTACCAACTATATTCTTTCTCTTAATATATCCTTTACATTCCAAAGATAACGATTTATAAGCATTGTACAGTTGGGATGGGTCTAGAAAACAAAATTTATATTTCATGAGTGACAAGAAAGAATTACCACCAGAAGCTAGCAGCTTGTTTACTTACTCGATCTTTGGAAGAAAGCAATTGTGGACACAGCCACCATTCCGTCAGTATTTCTAGCTAGACACTGGTAGTACCCCTCGTCACTGAAACTGGGGCCGTTGATACTGATGGTGCCGCCGCTGTTTGTTTTGTAATTCCAGCCTCTGGTACCCACTGACAATAACTGACCGTTTTTCTTCCACTCATAACTGTAAAGAATTTGAAATAAATATTAATCAATTCTGAATTATAGTTTTGCATAGTTCATTTTACCTACATGCTCAAATATAAACAAATATAATTAAAGAAAAGGCTTTCTGATTATAGCAGTTATGAAATAATATGAATAATAAATTAATCAAAATACTGAATCAAAATGGAAACTTCTTGAAAATTCTATCATGTCAGCTAGTCATGCTATATTGTCATATCATATCACAATTTAGCTAAAAGATAAAAGTGTATTAATTAGTAAATTAATCAGTTAATGATAATTTTTTGTTTGTTTGTTTGTTTTTGCGTTATGTTTTCATTGACATTAGATTGTAAGTGGAAATGATATCTCAATAAGTTCTACGCAAATTTTTATGGAATTTTCAGGATGGACAGTTGTTTAGAAGGGAAAACGAGCGATAACAAATACAGCTGAATATCTAAAGGTTTTCGTGTATTTTTATTGTACATTATTTAAAAAAATCGATATTTAGTAGCAGGAAAATGCATTGGTATGCTATAGTATATACTTACTATGGCTCAGGTATTCCTTCGGCAAGACAAGGTAATTCTTGTGTAAAAGTGGCATCATCCACCTTAAAGTAATACTGTCTATTTGGCTGTACTATAAATCTTGGAGGTAGCTTCATGTCTGAGAGAGATTTCATTTTTCTCATCATATCAATGATAGAGACAAAAATATATGCTGGCAACATATTAAAGTAGCTAGTAACATTTAATCAACACAATCGCCACACCTACCACAGGGGCTCCCCACTGCTGTCGTAAACAACACAATCAGCACACCTAACACAGTTGTTCCCCACTGCTGTCGTAAACAACACAATCAGCACACCTAACACAGTGGCTCCCCATTGCTGTCGTAAACAACACAATCAGCACATCTAACACAGTGGCTCCCACTGCTGTCGTAAACAACACAATCAGCACACCTAACACAGTGGCTCCCCATTGCTGTCGTAAACAACACATCCAGCACACCTAACACAGTTGCTCTCCACTGCTGTCACAACCAACACAATCAGCATTCCCCACACAATGCAGTTCTGTTCGTTTACCTTGAGCCATCACTGTGGTGAAGAGAGCTGTTATCACCACAACTGCTGTATTTATCATGGCCATTCTTCTGTTCTAGCATGAAAATTTTAAAATAAAAGCAATCAAATGAAAAAATGAAACATTACAAGTGAGAAATCACACACACACACACACATACACACAAACTAAATCTGTTTTAATTATCATTTTGTCACTTTGAAAACGAGAAGGAAATATTTCTGATTTTAGCATAACTCCTTTAATTATCATTGTCTCTTTGCAAATATATAAATATTATAATGGACCACATGTTAAGCGCCTTATGCATATTGTTGACAACAAGTCAACTGTGAAACAAAAACTTTATATACATGAAATAAATATTGGGTCCATTACAGACAGTGAGACTTACTACTTAAACGATGAGACTTATTTCAAATTAGTGCAATGAAACTAACGACCCAATTAAGTACATTTTTAAAGCTGAACACAAAGTTTTACTCAATAATGTTGGGAATAAAAGGTATTAATGACTATTATATCAGAATAAAGACTTTACCTTAGAATTCTTGGTTAAAATATTTTCTTCTACTTTTACCAACCATCTAGTTTCATGAGCACCCTGAAGATTAAAAACATATAAAATATACATCCCCAGAAATGCACTGCATGACGTCACGCTTGGCCCACTGCGCATGCGTGCACTTTTAATGAGTTGCTAGATTGCCATAGGAAAATGAATGGGTTCGCGATTCGTGGGTAATTCGTGATAATTGACAAACTAACGGCCTGATGCCGATAGACAGCAACGCTGTGCTATACTTCAAGCAACTCCTGACCAAATTTCGCTAGGGTTTAATAAAAAATTCTGTTGTACACACGTACGAAGAAGTTTGCCGTGTATTGCCTAGCCTACCCTCAGCAAAACGCACATATTTTCAGAAATAGTGATTTTAGACGGTAAATTCACTCAGAAACAAAGGCAAACTAATTCGTTGCCGATAGCACCAGCAGATAGCAGCACCATACAGAGTCTGATTAAAAACTTTCATGGCAATTTAAAAACTTTTTCCACTGTACAATGGAGTCCAAAAAAAGCACTTGGCACAAATGTGAAACTGCCCAGTGCAAGGCCAAGAATTCAATCAGTATTTTCAATCATATTATCAGACTCTACATAAATTCACTGACAATATCACTACTCAGTATTTAACTAATCTTTTAATCCAAAATTCCTATCATCATTTAATAATATTGCAAAATTCTTCTTTCAGATTGCTATTTATTTTAAATTTAATGCTGCAGTGGTTCCAAAATAATCTTGTAGTAAAGGAAAAATGCAAATAAGAAGTGGAAGACCAATTTTACCCACATTATTCAATCATTTGAATATAAAACGAATAAGATCACGATTTAACAAATTAAAATAATCTTTCATAAACTCTTTCATGAATAACATATTAAACAAAATTAAAGTTATAAATTAGTGGTAATGGCTTATTCTGGAATATATGACCTCTGCACATCATCAGTACCTGACTTGGTACAGTATAGTTACTACTTGGATACAGATTTAGATTTAATAATTTAACAATAAGAACAATATATATTACAATAAACTTCTCTGCACATGTCAGACGCTTGTTACCATGAACTAAAGCTACTTGACAATAGGCTGAGCACTTATCACAGTCTGTGTGCGATGCCATTGTTGTGCTGTGATTGGCTAGCTGAGTCATGTGAAGCCCTACTGTAGCGCCCTCGCGTATCGCGTGAATGCTGCGCATTCTGGCCATGAGCTTTACTTAATTTACAACATTTTTTTAATTAGTCCACAACGCCTTGCTTTGGTTTATTACTGACTATTAGTTTTGTTTTGAAAATCTTACTGATAACTCCATTTATTTGGAAATTGGACACGGTGCTGCATGTAAAACATCAAAAAACAAACAAAACGATTTAACTAAGGAGTCAACATCCTTGGCGTTTCGCGCATTCAGAGGCCCAAATCAGGATGTTGATTAGCAAATTTGCCATGACAGCATTTTATCTTTCATATCAGGATGCTTGGCATTTTAAGCGAGGTGTTAATCTTAAATCGATATCTGACAAGTATAATAACGCAAAAACATTTGTAACAAGTAAACACCACGGCGAATAAAAGTGTAATCGTTGAGAAGCTGCAGTACATATCGATTATGTGTTACATAAAAAGAAGTCATATTTGCAAACTCAGTAGGCCTACGTAGTGATAGTTTTAAACAAGCAATATTCTTCCAAGCATGCAAAGTTTCGATTTCCACTATCTGTTCTACAAACGGACGTGCGAAGGCGACCCGTGCCAGCATTTATCAAATTTCTTGTCACCATTCAGTTTACTTTTACTGATTTTACCTAACCTAGATATCTGTAAGCACCGCAGCCACAAAAGCGAGATACGCCACGAGCGAGCCACTTGTGAACGTTTTTCGTGGTGATCTTCTAGGCAGAAACACATATAGAAGAGACTATTCCCAGACCCTATCGTGCTAACTTTGGATCGAACAATCTTCAGGGGAATTATCGCTTAATTGCAATTAACTTAAGCTACTTAAATGTCTGTCAATCCTACTGAAGCTGTTAGGGGGTAACTAACTATTGTTTAGCAGCTTTAGTAAACCACTTAAGCTAAAAGCAATTTAGCGAGAAACCCCGTGGAGATGGACCTATCCTGTAAGATCAATTTAGGGCACCCAGTGCATTTATACTCATTACAAGCAGACGCTCACTGATAAAGGCCAGACACATTTGATAAGAAAACCCAACACCAGGACTTGCTTTCTTTTCCTGTGAACCATTACGTTTAAAACAACACTAACTTTCCCCATTTGACCATTCCCCTTCTATCCCCCTATTGCCATGGCTCTGCAGCTGATAATGGTCACTAATTGACCGATAGGTGCTTCCTGCACGCCCCCCCCCCCCCCCCCCCGCCCGCCTGTACGTCACTCGAACAACTGGCTTTCTAGGTCAAACTCACACAGAGACGAGACGCCTCTTACCACACCACGCAAGCCACCAATAGGTCATCCTATACCAGATCAGAACTGTTAGACTGACAAGTCAAATCATTCTCTTCATTCCCTCACTCACACGTGAAATACATGTAAAGACATTCAAGGAATTTACAACATCAAATATATAATGTTTTAGTGAGGAATAACGACAACGATCTGGAGTTTTTGAACGTTTATTCACCAACTTCTCTTCAAACAACTTCACATATATTTATACTCTATTTCTCTGATACTGATCACGCATTTACTTGTTTTCTTTTTCTTTGTCTTTGCGTGATTACAAAATATTTTCCATTCGCATGTTGCAAGTCACCATGCAACATTCCCTTATTAGGTAATACCTAAGATACTTGTTTTCAATTAAAGATATCTAAAATATTATTTGAATTACTCATGCTTGGACCTTATTCGAAACTCAGTTATCATGTGATAAACAGATGACTGAAATTAAAATATATTATGAATTTAACCAATCACATAAACTGTTACTGACTTTGACCGTTTCCATCTATTTCTAAACTTAAAAACATGTTCTACACTTGTTGACTCTTGATGAAACCTAACCAACACTCAATAACTCTCTATGTTTTTACTCGTTTGATTCCGTTTTAATTGTTATCTGTAATTAGTGAAAGTATAAGCCATTCGCTTTACAACAATACGTATTTAGAAAATAAACTTGATCATCCCATAAACCGACTCAAAGGTTTTAACTGTCAAAAACAAGTCCCCAGGGGCCCGGCCTTAGATCGTGTTCTTTTGAAAAGACGTATTAAAACCAAGGCATGAGCCGACCACCACCAAACGTGTGCATGTGTGTGTGTGTGTGTGAGTGTGTGAGAGAGAGAGAGAGGGAGAGAGAGAGAGAGACACTTGCCTTAGTGACTTATTGTCCCCATCCTTCTTGGCGTTATTCTTCACTTTCCGGTTGGTAGCCTCACTCCAAATGATTTGGAAACTTTATTACAACCTAGGTATCTAAAAATAGAAATAGAAAGAGGAAGTTACTGAGCAGCGTGTAGAAGCACGTACGTGACTTACCGCCCTGGTAACAAAGTCATTTTCCAATCCATGTAGGAACTATGTAAAGCCATATGGATTTCGAAACATACATGTTCAGTTATCATTTTGCTGAAGTAGATTTGCAATATTGATGGTTTTCGCTTCAAAATATATATACTACCGGAAATAGTGGCGTGTCTTACCAGAGGGATTCCCCTTGCTCTGCAACTTTCCCAAGTTGTTGTTTAGCTTTGTTTACTCCGATGACGTGTTCAACATCTCAGACCTGTCAACACTCCCGCCTTGATGGGAGTCTCTGGTTTGGACACATATCACCATACTTAATTGTGAACTTCTCTTTCTAGAAGTTTAGTTTGTGATAAGTTTGTTAACTAGCTATACCACACCTGGGGCAACGTACCCCATTCATATCGAGCGATTTTTCCCTGGGTCGATCACGTCAGTCATAAAATATTATTTTGTCGCTAAAATAATAACGTCTACGTTAAATTATCCAAGTGTAAACTACTTGCGGATGGGGTAAAGATAATTGTAGTTTAGTTTTCATCATACAGTATACCTATGTAGATCTAGAAAAAGTTCACTTTGTGACCCTGCTAGAATCCAAGCCAACCTCGCCCCCATTGGCGGAATTAGGGGGAACCAGGTGGTCCAGACTCCCCCCCCCCCCCTCCTCCCTTATGGACTAAATCAAAACTGATGTAAACAAAACCAAATATCCGTTCGTCAGTACAACCACAGTGCGTGTCACTGTCGCAACTATCGCAATCAGTCCAATACAGTCCTGCATACTGGAACAAGAACAGGGGCACTTATCCACTTTCACAATCATCATTTGCGGTCATTGTAATGGAAAGGCAACCTCTTTTAAACAATGTAACACTTCTCTGCACTTCTCTTTTTCAGAATCTTTGTTTGCTGGTACGCAGATGAAACTCCAAGGTCACAAAAACAAAAAAAAATTGATGAATAGAATAAATTGAAATAAAAAATATATGTTAATTTAATTTAATTCCATTTAATTAGTTAATGAGTTAACAGCAACCTACACATATCATTAATTTTCGGTAACCACATGAATTCAACTTTGAACCATTTTTAGCATGTGGACAGATGTATCCTGATAGAAGGGCGCCATGAATTTTTGGACAACGCATTAGTCATGTCAGTTAACGCATTGTTAAAGCTGATTTTCAGCATATTTTTGGAAATGATTCTGTTCAAGGATTCGCTTTCCTGATTCATAATACCCTTAACACTTTTCGTCACTGTCATATTTGTCAACATTATCATACAATGCTTCTTCAAACTCTCCAAAGGCCAAGACGTCGTAATCTGCAACCAGCAATTCGTTCAATGAATTTGTTAACTCCTTAAAAGAAGGTCTTGCCTCCGGTGCCTCCTCCCAACAAGACAGCATGATAGTATACCTGAAATGATCAAACCCATGACGTATAATATGTCCAACCCAACATAAACGTTATCAAAGTAATTGCAGAAAGTGTTGCTTGTAAAGACGTTCGCAATCTTAAATACTCAGAATGTATTTTTTCAAAGTCCACTGTTAAGAACAGAATAGAAACCTGCTCGTTCCATAAGCGCCACTATCTTCCTGATGGATTAATGTTGAAATCATTTCAAACTATATACTGTCAAATCTACTTACATGTCCTGTGAACAATGTCGTGGCCTTGTCATCCGGTATCCGTTAGTTATCTTTCTTATCACTTGCTTAGCTGACATACCGGTGTAAGGAATACACCCTAAATAAAAGAAGTTCTAAGAATATTATTTGCAAAGGGGATCACAAAAGATACAGAGTAGCAATAAACAAAGATGGAGGCAATGCGCCGCGAGACAAGAAAAAGTGCGAGAATCTGCAAGAATCCACGGGAGGTGACATTATCATTTTCGCGATAACTGCGAAACTCTAAACGCCAGGAATGCCGAATTAGCAAGCACCACAAAAGGGACACACAGAGCACGACAAATTGGTATTACTGGGCAGTTGACTATCATTCTATAAAAGTGAAGAAACAACAACCTTATGTTGTAAACTTGAATCTCACCGCACTTGTTAACCTTATAGGCCTATCTGACCCGCTTCCCTCCAAATCCTTCACAATCTTGCCAAGTTTTAAGCTAAGTTGTGAGACTTTGGACAATCTTTGATGATTCCCATTATACTGCACAAAAACATTGGTATTTCTGTAACATATACACGTAGTGCCTTACCCAATGTGACAATCTCCCATAACAAGACACCATACGCCCAGACATCGGACTGGGAGGTAAATATGTGGTCATTCAGAGCTTCTGGAGACATCCATCGTACTGGAACACGACCCTAGAAATAATTTAGAATGGTCAGAATAATTTAGTTATGTGTACATATTTTTACCATTTTCGTATCAAATTCATATTGCATAAAATAAGTTTAGATACAGTGACCAAGTTAATTTTTTAAACGCCCAGACTTAGTGATTATTTGAGATCAAAAGCTCTTCTATCACCCATTTGCAGATAATGAGCTTTTGATCTCTATTATCTTCCAACGTGGAACTTTAAATATGTGGCGGTTAATCACTTATCTTTAACCAATTTTTTATGTTTTTCCAAAAGGAAGAGAGAAGCTTGAGATATTTTTTTATCTGTTTCAAGCAGTAGTACTAGCCAGCAGCAGTAATACCTGTGACTTCATTTCATACTGGTGGCTTTCAATCACGTCCCTAGCAAAACCAAAATCAGAAACCTTGCATCTTTTGTCGTCAGACACCAAAACATTTCTTGCAGCAAGGTCTCTGTGCAGTATCTGAGAATAATTTTAATTAACAGATATAAATAAAGAAAGATAAATGATTTTCTAAAATATCGGTAGCTTATCAACAGCCTTGAGACAAGTGAAATGTTATATGAATGTTCTATATAATTCTATATAATTACTACAGGAAGTATCATGGTTATTATTTGAGATCTATACCCCGAGCACAGAGATATGTGGAACTGAATACAGTTCCTTGAGGACTATCATTCATAGCAAAGGTGTCTAATAAACAAGATAAAAAGTTAAAACGCACCGTGTTGTTAAATATGTACTTGTACACGTACATGTAGCAGAGTGTGCAAACAAATAAATTACATGTACAGTAAATAAATAGTTACCATCCTATTTAATGTGCACCCATTTCACCGAAAAATTTAAAGGTGTATACTAACGGACATAGAAGAAAGAAACGCCATCCCATTTGCCACGTCGAAAGCATACTTCATAAGATCTCGTGATGTCAGTGAAGCACTGGCGCCATATAAGTTGCCATACACTGCCTTATTTCGAGCTCGGTCATTTCGTAGGAAAGTTTGCAGATTTCCGTTAGGAAGGTATTCCAAGACAATCATTGGTACACCTTAATAACAAATCAGAACCTATTATGTATAGTTATTATGCGACATATCATCAACTTGTGTTTGAGCACTGAATCCTGTATGTTGGTTACTTATGTATATCATATTATGAACACACTGCGAATATCAAATAGAAATGCTTTAAGAAATCACAATATCATTTTACTTAAGTACATTAAACATATGTCCTCATTCAGCGGTATTTACATGTAGGTTTAATATGAGAAGATATAACAATAATGGAAAGGTTCACATGTCGCGTATAAATTAAGAGATCAACGTAAAACGTACCTCCATCGCGCGTGCAAGACGCAAATAGAGTGACTACATTTGGATGTGGACGAAGAGTCTGCATCACTTTTAGTTCATCTTTCAAATCTTTGACAAGGGCTGAATCATGAGGATCTAAAGAATTCACCACAGTGAGTCTTGTTAAATGTGTTATTATATAATTCTCATAGAATAAGATCCTTTATCCGCCCGGTCAATATTGCTTTTCTGAGGTCAGCAAAACAGCACAATGGCAGCATCAAAAGTCGATAATTATACATTATTTATCAAATATATTAAGACGGTGTTTCTCTATCATTTTTATAATTCTATGCAATTATTTTCATACTGTATGCAGTATTTGCGCCATTTCATATTAAATTAGTACATTTTGTGTAACAGTTATAATTTATGCTTTTATCCATTCAACTTAAATTATTCAAATTTTCAATCCCTGTTTTATATATACGATACTTTATTGGTATGTAAGAATAAATAAAATAATGTACCTCTGACTGTCTTCACTGCAGCTGCCGTCCACTCTCCTTGGCCATTCAGATTATATATTTCTCCCATATAAACCTGTCCAAAGGATCCACTGCCGATCTCTGCATGGACCCTAACATGTGTCCTGGGAATCTCCGAGTTAGGCATCAGAACCTCTAAGTACATCGAAACATCATCGGCCTTCAAAATATAAATTAAGAATTTTTAATTCTAAAAAACAATTATTCCATCGCCTTGAAAAATGTTTCAGTATATCAATTAAACCCTTTGTTATACAGAAAGCCATACCGTTTCATTTTCCCCGTCTAACGATCTGGACATTGAAGTGTCATTCTTCATCTGCAGAGGTATTTCGTATGAATCTACGTTGGCAGGTGGCATCTGTTAAAAAATAGAGCAAGTTTTTGTATATGCCGATTCAATCCTTATTAAAATAACTCGATCCGATAATTCCCCATAAACTACCATACGTATGTTATTGGAGATGCGTTTGTGTTACTGCTTTAACATACAAATATCATTAGGATAATTTAATTAATATTATAAAATTTTAAAATCTATTTATTCCCCGCCTTGAAAGAGCTTGCAGTTTATCAAGTTATGAATTACCACTTCATTTTCCTCGTGTAAGAATCTGTACACTGGTGTACCATTAAAAATCTGCGGAGGTATTTCGTATGGATTTACATCGGCAGGTGGCATCTGTAAGGAAAAAAGGAGCAAGGTATACT